AATGCAAAGCGGTGGAGATTGAAGATTGAGAATCCTGACCATTCAGGTGGTCTTTTCCTTGAGTGCCACTTTAGTAGGTGAACCAGAACGAAATCCAATTAAAGTGGGGCGCGCACGAGGAGAAGGACAATAAATAACCAAAAAAGAAGCAAAGGCGGGGGATTTACTTGTGTATCAAAACAGCTTAGTTAATGATTCTCGGAAGACGACAACTCTAGTACCGTCACAGGGTCAAGGCGGGTGAAAGCGGGTATCAGCCCGGCTGACCACGGGGTCATGCCTTCATACGGTGCGTCTTCTTGATATCGTGACGCAAGGCACACGCCAAAACTGGTTGCTACTGGTGCCAGGTTTACGACTCATAGGGATGCATGTTGGAGCAGTCTTACACTGTTCCATAGCATTGGTAGTGTTACCGGGAAGTTTCAGCCCAGTGCTGAGTGAAACCATCGACTCAGCTTGAACAGTGAGAACCTGTGAACGCCATCCCAGTGGTTTGTCAAAGCGTTGAGGCTTATTCTTAGTCTTTCTAGTCTCCAGCCTCCGGCGGGTGGTCGTTAGATAGGCAACATTTGGCAATTTAGTGCACGTTTTATTTGCAGCTACGAAACGACCTTTTATTCGCTAAATAATCTATTAACAAATATTAAGGCCCTATTTTCGGCCATGATAATGCCGACTTGTGCTCCGCTCTGGTTTGCGTGGATGCGGACTGATTTGTAACAACCGAAGAGGATGTTCCAAAGCAACAAGGGAATGAGGACGAAACAGGCATGGGCAAGTGTCGAAGCTGTAGATAGTTGTGGCAGATGATAAACGAACTTGGCGCAGGGAAGCAAGAAAATCGATTGTCCCTGGTCAAGTTGTGCATTGAACGCGGCTTACGATCTAGGGTAGTGACTTCCTGTGTCAACTACTGCAGCCCCTCCCAAAGCCGCGACCTTTCCTGTTGCGGAAATTGAAGCGATCTGACTTCAGCGCCAAGGAACCAGGCCGCATATTAAGGCTGGGGTGAAGTTGCATTGGCACCAAAGTAGGCTAAGCGTTTCGCATATAGTTCAACTCTGCTATTTTTATCTCTCTCTCTCTTTTCTTTTTTTTTCTTTTGCGGCGAAGCGCCGGGTGTACTTGGACACAGCTGTCACGTTATGGGAGTCATTGTTATGGGAGTCATTGTTAGCGAGGTATTGTTGATACGTAAGAATCCCGTTTATTCATTTTTCTTCTCCTCTGAAAGAGTTCATACCTTATCTCAGTTTAGAAGGACAGAGACAGTCTCATATGACACATCCACCGTCTCTGCACGATTTAGGGATATGGATCGCATTGAACAGTGGACTAGTCCTCGATTGAATCTATCGAGCTACGGAATTGAGAACTCTCATAGAGCTTCTAGCTAGTTGTTGCTCTTGATGACCGTGACTCTTGGTGGATTTGAACCTTCCTTTGAATGATTCAACTATTGAAGCTAGCTTCCAGCGGCACCCGACTTCATCCGTAGATACTCTCTGATCCCTCGCATGGCTCCAGTCAAAATACGCCATCGTCTCTTCCTTCGCCGATTCTGAAGCCCTTAACATGTACGCATTGTCTGGTCATCTGTTTGTAGTCCAGGCACTCCCTGTTTTTGACACTGAGGTCTCCACTCTTGAGCCGATTGAATGAGGCTGCTTCGATCTTCGCGATATGTCCATTGTTGCTCTGTTCGATAGCTCTGTCTACGTGTGCTTTAAAGTTGCGAGGGCTCATCGCTCTGCTGTTGGTGACGTTGATTGCGTCTCACATGATCCCCGCAGGGCTTGGCTGGGGATGTTCGGTGGCTTTGCAAACTGTGCATGCTGGACGCGAGTCCGCCCCTGGCGACTATACTAGCATAGGTTCGTGCTGCGTTGGCTGGATTGGCCTACGGTCTTCATATCCTGCACTAGTTTCATCGTTGCTTTACTGATCTCTATGGCCTACTTCGCGTTGTCGTTAGCTACCTTAGCACTGTCTGCATTTGCCTTGATACTTGATGCTATTGATGACCTGAGTGGTCTGTTCGGTGGCTGTTTTCGCCTCGGTCTCTCCGTTTCGGATCACGTCCTGGAGGCTGCCGAGGTCAGGTGTGATTTGCATTTTGACGTTGAGGGACAGGTCCCTAATGGATGCGGCTCTGACTTCGTGGGCGTCGACAGATTGCCCGTCCATGTTTCGATAACAGAGAGTGCTGTCTGTAGGTATCAGCTTAGTTTCGCGGCGTGCACTTCGCCATCCCATTGACCATTCGAGCAGGCCTGAGGTTCTATAATGGACTGGTGTCTCACAGTTTCTTTCTCGCTGGTGTTGATGTTCTCGTTCTCACCAAAACGCGTCGGAAATCACTCAGGCCCTTCCACAGAACCACGTGGTTCATCGCGTCTGTTCGTTTAGTGGGCGGGACCGAGTGCCCGAGGGTAATGATGAGGCTTGACCTTCATCCGTTGCGGCCATATTGCGGCCATAACATGATCGTCACAGTCACCATTGTGTCGTCAATTTGACATCTTGAACAGAACTGGTGGCGATGATACCCTTCAACCAGTCATACACGTCACGCCTGTCGCCTCTGACCAACAAGCGCCTCAATCGCAACATCTTGCTGAGAGCAGCTTTGTTCCTCCTCACAGGCGTCTTTTTGTGGAGCCGTCGTAAACCAGCAGCAGTGCCGGGAATTCCTACTAACGAGTTGTGGTTGGAATCCGACGAATTCAACAAGACGTACAACTTTCCAACAACGAGCGATTCCCAACCCGTATCGCAGAGCCCCGGTAGCAAAACTACTCAACAATTATGCGCCAGTTTCCCCAAGCACAAGTTGTCGCGGATCCAGCCTGTTCTAAAGTTGGGATATAGCGAAGACCGAGACAAGATCGAGTCGCAATTGGACAATTTGAGCGCCTGCTTCTCCACGGACGACTTGTTAATATTCTCAAATATGGAGGAGACTCTGCGAGGTCACAAAGTTATCGATATCTTGGCTTATCTGCCGGATACGTATCGAAAGGGATCGGACACCTCCAAGTTTCAGCAGTACTTGCTGCAGAAAGAGATGAAGGAAAACAGGACATAAGAAGTGGATAAAGAGGCCGCTAACATGATTGATGGTTGGGCGTTGGATAAGTTTAAGTTCTTGCCGGGAGTTGAGAGAGCGTGGGCTATGAAGCCGAACAAGGAATTTTACGTCTTTTATGAGACAGACACGTAAGTACAGCGCTTTAAGGCATCGAGAGGTTTATTTTGTTACTGCAATGAAACT